TCCCCATCCCCATCCCCATCCCCATCCCCATTCCCATTCCCATTTCCCATTCCCATTCCCATTCCCATTCCCATTCCCATTCCCACTCCCATCCCCATTCCCACCCCCATTCCCCATTCCCACTCCCACTCCCATCCCTATTCCCATTCCCACCCCCTTTCCCCACTCCCATCCCCATCCCATTCCCAACCCCACTCCCGTGTGGATGTGGCTCTTGGGGACATGGATCAGTTCTGGGAATGGCCACAATTTGGGATAGTTGGGAATTAATCCGTGTCCAAATAGGTAAGAAGGCTCCAAAATTCCCAAATCCACGTGGCACAGATCTTTGGGATGTCACAGTGCCACCACCAGGATGAACAGGAAGTTTGGGATCTTTTCCATCCTGGGGAAAAAAAAGTCCCAGTCAAGATTTTCCATCTTTTTTGCCGACCCCTCAATTAAACGTAATTAAATTACGCTAATCATTTAATGCGCCATTAAATTCCTTGGAAAAATATTGCATCCTGAGGATGCTGAAAATCAGGAGAAGGTTCAAACCAACGGAGCAGCTTTTGCTGCCAGTCCCAGGGCAGAGCTTTCAGAACCTGGAGATTTTTCCTGGATTCTGGGAATGTAAACCACCCCCAGCCTATCCCGGGGAGGAGATTCCCAGATGGAGCAGGAGCCATGGATAATGCTGGAAGTGCTGGACACAGCTCCTGTTTCTCACGCCGGAAGCGCAGATCCGGCCTCCAGACGGGTTTTTCCCGGGAATAGGGGGAATGGAACACCCTGGGCTGGAGGCACAGCTGGAATTCCCTCCCTGGAGCTTGGACACAGCCCCATCCTCCTGGGAAGGGGTGTCCCCGCTCCCTCAGGAATTCCGGCCCTGGGATTTAACTTGATTTTTTTTCCTCTCTTTTTCTCTGGTGCCTCACCCAGGATTAAGTTTAACGATGGATACAAGGCGGTGGCAAGGTACCAAAAATGTCCTGGTGGGAGGGATCCCAGATTTTGGGGTGGGATCTGGCATTTTGGGGGATTGCTTCCATTCCAGCCCATCCCAGGCACCCCCATCCTACAGATAGGTGCAAATCCCGGCATAATCCCAGGATTTGGGATACAGCTCAGCCTCATCCTGTGACACCAGGAATTATAGGGCCAGGACACGGGGAATGGCTTCCCACTGGGAAATGGAAACTTGGGGATATTGGTAAGGAATTCCTGGCTGGGAGGGTGGGGAGGGGCTGGGCTGGAATTCCCAGAGAAGCTGTGGATCCTTGGGAGTGTCCACGGCCAGGCTGGAGCACCTTGGGATAGTGGAAGGCGTTAGGATTGGAATGGGACGGTCCTCAAGGTCCCCTCCCACCCAAACCATTCCTGGGATTTGAGGATCAGCCCCTCTCCCTGTCCTGCTCCCATGGGCCGTGTCCGGTTGGGAATGTTTGTTAATTCCTGGGATTTGAGGATCAGCCCCTCTCCCTGTCCTGCTCCCATGGGCCGTGTCCGGTTGGGAATGTTTGTTAATTCCGCACTTTCCTCCTCCTGGCTCCGTCTCCTCCCAACAGCGAAGACCCGGAAGATCCCAGGTATGGGACGTGGTGTCCCTGCTTCCCTTTGGGAATGGTGTGTGCGTGGATGGGAGCAGGCCCTGCATGGTGTTTGGATCCAGGGAAAGGGATTTTTCCGGGATCACCCACCCCTGGGATTTGGATCCAGGGAAAGGGACTTTGCTGGGATCACCCACCCCTGGGATTTGGATCCAAGGAAAGGGACTTTTCTGGGATCACCCACCCCTGGGATTTGGATCCAAGGAAAGGGACTTTGCTGCGATCACCCACCCCTGGGATTTGGATCCAGGGAAAGGGACTTTGCTGGGATCACCCACCCCTGGGATTTGGATCCAGGGAAAGAGCCTTTTCTGGGATCACCCACCCCTGGGATTTGGATCCAGGGAAAGGGCTTTTCTGGGATCACCCACCCCTGGGATTCCCTCTGTCCTTCCTAATCCCAGCAGGGACAAATCCCTTTCCAGTCAGGGACTCCTGCAGGAGCTCCCGGAGTCATGTTGTTCTCTATTCCAAGCTCTCCATGGATCCATCCTTCCTTCTATCCATTCCTCCATCAATTCCTTCTTTCCTTCCTTCCATTCCTCAGTCCATCCCATCCCATCCCATCCCATCCCATCCCATCCC